CCCCCCCCGCCTCCCCCCCTCCAGCTGAGTATGCACCCAGCCCCACTGGCGTAGATCTCTCCTTCGCCTTTGTCCAGGGGTCTCTCAATGCCCCGTCCGGGCAGTCGCCCCTGCGAGCAGGTGCTGGCGCCACCGGCACCGGGCACGACGCATCCGAGCACTCCCCCTCCCTGGATCTTGGCATCCAGCCGGTCGGCAGCTCCATGGTCCTGCCCATCCCGACGCCGGAATCATGGTCGCGAGCGGGACGCCCCGCCTCGGCTGGCACGGCGGCTTCGGCCCTCGGGGCCCCGGAGTCACTGGGCGGTGATGCTGCCTCCTCCGCGGCCACCTCCACCATCATCCCCCCCGGCAATGGCGCCCCCTCGGCAGACCGCCAGCCCGGAGCCGCCGACAATGACGCCATCTCCCTCGGCCCGGGCTCCGGGCCTTCGCTGGCGCACTTGAACTTCCATCTGACCCCCGGGACTGCGGCCGGCGCCGCCCTGGTGGCTCCCTCTCCCTCGTTGACTTCGCTGGCCATCGGCCCCGGGGCCGAGCACCACCACCATCTCCACCATTCCCAGGCCCCGGGAGCCGGGGGGCTGTCTTTCCATTCGGGCATTGTCAGCTCCTCCTCCGGTGCCCTGTCATCGTTCGTCAACCAGAACATCTCCCTGTCCGACATGCCGGCGGCGTCATTGCACTCGGATGCCGCCCCCTTCCCGGCGGACCGGGCCACTCCCAACACCGGCATGCTGCTGGCCAGCGGCGGCACCGGGATCCCGGCCTTTGCGCATGCCAACCGCGCGGCGGCCGCCAGCGGCGCCGCTGCCGCACGCGGCGTCGAGCCGGCCACCGTCGACCCCGGCCTCAGTCTCCACTCGAACACCGATGCCCTCGAGCCCTCGGCCTCGATCTTCTTCAACAAGGATGGCCAGCTGGAGTTCGGCGCCGATGCGGGCGATGCCAACATCGCCGCCGGAGCCGCCGACCTCACGGCCGCGTCGATCGACGAGGATGACGAGGAGGAGGCCTCCGAGGACACTCAGATGCAATCCTCCCCCGAGGGGGCCGCTGCTCGCTCCGCCCCGCGCAGCCTCCCCATCCGTGCGTTTTTGTCCCCCCTCCTCCCAGCTGTCTGGGCTCTCCGTCTGTCGTCGGCCGGCCTCTCCTTGCCAGTGTCACCCTCTCCTCCTCCTCCTCTTCCTCCTCCCTGCCCCGCCGGATACTCATTCGCCGATCCCTCCCCCACTCCCCCGGCCCCGGTGCTGTAGCTCCTCGCTCGGTGACCATCCTCAGCCACACGCCCTCGCCGGTGTCCCTGTCGCCGGGATCCACCCCGCCCGCCCCGGTGGCCGTGGACCCGTCTGTCCGGCCCCGCAAAACCCGGCGGTCGCGAGCCTCCTCGCCCGAGGGCGGCGCCCGGGCCTCCTCCTCGGCCGCCGTGTCAGTCCCCACGGCCATGACCGACCCCGTGCCGGACTTTGATCTGGACCTGGACCCGGCCTCCAGTTACAAGGAGCACGGCATTCCCGGGTATTTGGCCGAGAAGCGCCGGCGCAATGAGCCCCTGGAGGAGGGTGCGTCGCCAGACAACGGATGTTTGTGTCCCCCGGGGGGGGGGGGGGGGGGGATGCTGCTTTTTCTTCCTCCTTTTGCCGCTGGTTGCTGTTCTGCCCTGGTCCGCCTCCTGGGAATCTGCCCTCACACATCCTGCTGCTCCTCCTCCCGCTACCTCCTCCATTCGATGTGCCAGATGAAATCCGTCTCCTGGAAATTGCGTGCGTCGCCCATGCCTTCCCCTGTCGCCTGCGCATCAGCCTGGCATTTGCCCTGCCTGGTGGGTCTCCATCCGGCTAACCTCCCTTGTGCCCACCTCTCCCCTTCTGTCCTTTTTGTGTGCCGTATCTTCATGCGCCCGCTCCCACAGCGATCCCGATGCTCGGCGGCGCTTTGCCCACCAGAATGCCGAGCAAAAGCGTCGGAACCACATCAAACAAGCCTTTTTGGATTTGCGTCTCGCGGTATGTACACCGGCCAGCCTCTTGGGCCCTTTCCCCTGCCCCATGGCCCTGCCTCGCTCGGCATTAGCTGACCTCAGCCCAGATCCCCGAGACCCGTGACAAGAAGACCGTCAGCAAGGCGCAGATTTTGCACTCGGCCACCGTGTACATCGCCGAGAATGAGGATCGCGAGCGGACCCGCGCGCGGCTTGACTGCCGGGCCTGCCGCTCGGCCGTCTACGGCAAAGCTCGGGCTGATGTCCTCCCCCCTCTTGGCCGGGATCTCCTGTCCCAAATGTCGCACAGCGAACTGGTCGACCAGGTTCTCATCAAGGAGACGTGCGTGCATCCGCTGTCTCCTGCATCCTGCCTCTTTCATCATGCGTCTTTTGCTGCCTCTGCCTCCCGGTGCCGGTGAGTTCACAGGAAAGTGCTGACATCTGGCGATTTACCCATGTTATCTGCCTGGTGGATATGTCCTTCTCTCTCTTTCTCTCTCTCTTTCTCTCTCTCTTTCTCTCCCTCTCCCTCTCTCTCCCTCCCACGTCCATGGTTTCTTCAGCGAGATCGCCAAGCTCCGAGAGGCGCTGGTGGCATTGGCCGCCAAAACTCCCCATACAGATTCGAGCGCCGGTCTCGGAGCAGCTGGCTCGTCTTCGACAGCGATTCCGATCGACCCGGCCATGCTGCCCGGCGATTGCGGGGTCAAGTACTGTCCCTCGAACCCGGCGGCTCCCCTTCGGCCGGCCATGATGTACGCGCCTGCTGTGCGCCGGCCGGCGGCACCCAGCCCGGTCGTGCCACCGGTCAACATGAACCAGCTCACCCAGATGACCGCGACGGGGCTGGCGCTGCATGATTCCGCCTGCTCATCGGAGCCGACATCGCGATCGACCTCACCGGTGCCGGCGCCGGTTGGCGGCTCATCCCTTCCCTCCCCCTCGACATCCTCCTCGCCTCCGGTGGCCGGCTCGGCACCGCCGCCGCCGCACCAGCAACAGCCACCACACCTTGACGGGGGACACTTCCATCACCATGAGGGCTTTGCCCAGGCACACCATTTGACGCATCACTCGACGCATGTGCACCATGCGCATGGGCATCATGCGCAGCCGCACCCCTCGGCGCACTCGCGCCATGGCGCCTACCACGCGCCGCGTGCCCAGCATGCCCCCTCGCACCGGTTCTCCCCGGCGCAGCAGTCGGTGCACTTTGCCGACTACCATGGCGACGAGCACCAGGCCCTGCCCCCGACAGATGGTGGCGGGGGCGCCGGCACACGTCACTACGCCGAATCGGCCGACGGCGGGGTCGCCTCGGGGACATATTCCTCCCTGCCGGCGTCCGGTGGCTCCTCCTCCACCCCGGGGCAAGACCACTTCTCCCCGGGCCCACTGGCCGATGCCGGGGGGGGCTATGCGCCGCACGATTCGACTGCCACCAGCCCGGCGGCGCCACTGCCGCTTGAGCGCCTTCGCCATGGCTTTGCTTCCACCGGGCGGGCGCTGTCCGATTCGTCGATCCCCCTCGGCGGCACTCCCCCGGGGGGAGGGAGAGGACATGGCACCGCGCATCGGTAGGGGGGCGGCCAGGAGCAGTGGCCCTGGCCTGCCTCGTGCCCGCCCCGATTCCCGAAGCGACGGGCGGGGGCCCACGAGGCGGGCATGTGCTGCCTCCCTGGCTTGGCTCTCTGCCTCGTGTACTTTGCCCCGATTGCTCCCTCCTCTTCTTCCTTTTTGGGGCGCCCTCCGCGCTTCTTGCGCCCAAAAGACAGCAGGAAAGACAATACACCAACAACCTCATCTCCGACTCCGACACGTGTATTCATGTGTGTCTGCCCGTGTGTGTGTGTGTGTGTGTGGGTGTGGGTGGGTGGGTGCACGGCGCACTGCCCTCGCCAGGGGGCTGTGCATGAAGGAAGGAAGAAGACGCGGCGCCTGCGTGGGCCGGGGCTTCCCCGTGTATGGCGCCCATTCTTCTGGGGCACCCCCGGAATCGCCCCTGGCCGAAATGCCGCCGTGCCGCGTCTGGGCAAGGCCCGCCACGATACGAGCTCGCCGGGATGGAGCACAGGGCCGTCCATTTTTCACGCCATGCTTGGGGGCGGGCCAGACCGGGGGCGGAGCCCAGCCGAGACGGGCCTCGCACCAAAGAGAATGTGCCGCCCCGGCGTGCCGCTTCCTCGGGTGGGGGGGGGGGGGCATCTCGGCACAAGGGGGTGTGCACACCCGTTTTCCTGGCACGCTGGGCGCCGGTGTACACGCGGCGCCCCCGGGTCGCGGCATACCCATCAAGGGGGAAAGACAGTGGCGGCGCGCGGGGAGGTACGTACGCCGGCGGCCGAATCCCAGGCCCCAGGGGCATTGTTGTGGGTGCGTGAAAAAGGCAAGGCACCCGGCGATAATCCGGCGTGCCCCCTTGTCCGCCAGATCTCAAGGGTGACCCCCTTCTCCTCGGTCCGCCAGAGGACCGACGCCAACCCGCGACGTCCACGCATTGCGCGGCCCCTCACACCCACATACACGCATGTACGCTCCGCTCGCTCGCACGCACGCTCGCATGCTCGCACATGCGGCCACCTCTGTGCCGCGCTTCTCACCCCCACGACCCCCATGGCTCTTAACCTTGCCTTCCACGCCGGCGGCCTGCGGCTGGCATCCCTGCCGCCGGCCGCGGGGCAGTCACAACAATGCACAAGGTGCCAACGCACTTGGGGCCGGCCCGGAGCCGAGGCCGGCGGGGGACCGCCGCAGGCCCACACCGCGAACGTACACGGGCGCGTGCAAGCGGCCCCGGGGCAGGGGGGGGGGGGGGGGGGGGGGGGCTTCCCCCGGGGGGGCCCCGGGGTTGGGCCCCCCCCCCACCAAAAGGCCCCCCGGCCCCCCCCCCCCCCCCCCCCCCCCCCCCCCCCCCCCCCCCCCCCCCCGGTCCCCCCCCCCCGCCCCCCCCGGCGGCCCCCGGCGGGGCACCCCCGCCGCGCCCGCGGGGGGGCCCACACCAACGGCAAGAGGGGCCCGCCGCGCGGGGGCCGGCCGGGGGGCGGGGGCGGGGGGGGCCCGCCGCCGGCCCCCCCCCGGGGGGGGCGGGGGGGGGGGGGGGGGGGCCCGGGGGGGGGGGGGGGGGGGGGGAGAGCAGGCATTCCGCAGGGGTGCACCGGCGTATGTGCCTCCCCACAACCAAAGGTCCACCAGGCCCGCCCCGCCCCCCCCTCCCACCCTGGCTGCTGCCCCGCTGGCCGAGGGTCAGGCTGCCACCGGGTTCATTGCCGGGCCCGGTGTGGCCCGGGGCAGAGCGGCCCTCCCGGCGTGCATTCCACCGTTGGCCGCCCCCTCTTCCGGCTCATGGCGGTTGGGTGTGTACGCCCGGCCGGGCGCCCCCCTGGGGCAGGATGCCGGCTACCGGCGGCCGGGGACTCCTCACGATGGGAGGAGAGTCAAGCCGCAGGGCGGGGGTGCCCCCCCCCCCCGGAAATGCCCTCGGCCAGCCGGATGGGCGGAGCAAAGCTTGTCCACAGGCCCGACGGCCGTGCCCCGTCTTCCGTGGTGGGCTCCCCGGTCACTTTCTCTCCTTATTTTTTGCCACATTAATGTCCTTGCGGCTGTATCCGGCCCGGTTGGAGCACATGCGTGCCCAAACGGGGCTGGGCGGTTTCGTTCGCACTCGTAATATATTTTTCGCCCCTCCCCCCGGTCCGGCAAGGGCAAGCTCATTTGGGCGCCCCTATGCGTCTCTCATTTGTCCGGGAGCCCGCCGGCCGGCGGGTGTTTCTCCAGGGTGCCCTGCCCGCCTCGGCCGTCGCCCCCTTCACACCGGCGGCCGGGGCTCGTGCCCGGGGCCCCTCCCCCGGATGATGTGTCAGGTTCTGTGTCCCGACCGCCAGGCCCCTCAGCACGGTTTTCACTGGCGTCAGCGCGGGTGGATTTGGCACCCGCGGAAAGCACGGACGCCCGTTGCCCGCCCGGGGGGGGGGGGGGGGGGGGGGGGGCGACGTTCCTCGGCCGTCGCCCCCTGATTGCTGGCTCGCGCATTTGCGGGGCACTCCCACTCTCTCTCTCTCTCTCTCTCTCTCCCCCCCGTTCTTTCTCTTCCTATCGTTCGCTCGCTGTCTATTTGTGTCTTTATTTACGTTTCTCATGCAGCGCGGGTGGGGGGTCCAAGTCAAGCCGTCCCGGGGTTCGATCGCTTGCCCACGCTGTTATTCCCATCTTCCCCTTTCCCCTCTCGCCCGCTGGCTCGTCTGCCTTTCCGCCCCCCCCCCACCTCCCTCGCTTTTTTTCCTTCCCCGTCGCCCCTCCCTCGCAGTTTGGCTGCCCGGTCTCGGCCAGGTGCGCCTCCTTAGTTTCCTTCCCCGCCCCCTGCCCCCCGCCCTGCCCCCCATCCACGCCATCCTTCCGTGGTCCACTCACCTCGATATGCATGTAGCATGATGCACGCGGCTGGCCCGGCTTCGGCCCCGCCTCCGGGGGGCAGTCCGGCCCTGGCCCTCCTGGACGCCCTGGCCGAGGAAATCACCCACGCCATTGAGCACCTCGACGACCTGATCTACGCGCCGGTCCCCGGGGCGGCGACCCCCTCGACCTCTCGGCCGCTCAAGCCCTTCCCCCCGGGGCCGGCGGCCGGTCCCGGGCCCTTGCCCCCGGGCGGCCCGCCGGCGCATGTCCTCAGCTCCGACTCGAATCTCTTCCTGTCGGCCAACCGGTCGGCCGGCGGGACGGCCGCCGCCGCCGCCGCCGCCGCCGCGGGCGGCCGCTCGCGGGCAGCCACCGTCAACACGGCCCCGGATCTCGGCGCCCGGCCACGCGCCATGACCCTTTCCGATTTGCAGCGCGAGCGAGCGGACGCGGCGGCGGCGGCGGCTGCCGCCTCGGCGGCCGTGGTCACCGCCGCCGCGGCGGCCCTCGGCTCCAACAGTCACTTGGCCATGGACCCGGAGCCTGCCGGCCAGCCCGGCCCCGGTGGCCCGGGCACCGGCACCTCGACTCCCTTCCAGAGCCCCGGCCCGGTGGGCGCTCGGCACCTGTACCTGGAGGACGATGCGCCGACCCCGTCGCCGCCCTCCTCGGCGCGTAGTAGCATGAGCCGCTCCTCGCGCCTGCCCCACTCGACCTCCTTCGCGTCCGGGCTTTCGCAGCATCATGTGGTGAACCCCTCGGAGTCCGGGCTTCCGGCGTTGGATCTCGGCCTCCCGCCGAAGGCCCCGTCGGCGCGGCGCAGCACGGCCGCCACCGGTGGCGGCTTCGACGGGGCCACCATGCTGGCCTCGCCGGTCGGCTCGTCACCCGGGTCGCCGGTGCTCGGCCACCACGGGGGGGGCAGTGCCTTTGCCAGCCCGCCCGGGCTGTCGTCCTGCGGGTCGCTGGTGTCGACATCGTCGCTTTCTTCGCTGTCCGGCGGGTCTTCCGGCCCCGGGAGCGCCATGTACGCCTCGTCTCCGACGTTGATCGCGTCCACCGGTGTGACCACTCCGCCCGGGGAAATGCGCCCGGAGGACATCGTCGTCGCGGCGGCGGCCGCACGCCTGGCCCAGCAGGGCCGCTCGTCCTCCTCCCTGGAGGCGGCCACCGGCCAGGCGCTCGATGCCCTGGTGTCGTCCATCGATGAGGCCCTGGTGGCGGCGCAGGCGGCCGCGGCCCTGGAGCAGCAGCGCGTGGTCCAGATGCGCGAGGATGCCGCCCGGCGCCGGCTCAGCCGGCGCCTCAGTCGCTTCGGCCCTCTGCAGGGGCTGGACTTTTCCAAGGTGGACTTCAATGCCCTGGCCGCCGGGGCGGGGCTCTCCTCGCCGGGGGGGTCTTCGTCGACCCCCGGGTCGCCGACCACCGCCATCGGCGAGGGCAGCGGCGACAGCAGCCCCCTTGCCTCATCCCCCCCGCCGCCCCTCTCCATGTCGCCCTACCTTCCGACCGGCCAGGTGGCCGGGTCCTTCTCCGGGTTCGTGCTCCCCCCGGCCCCGGCTCCCATTTCGTCGCTCGACCTGCGTGGTGTCCCCTCGTCGCTGGTGCACCCGATCCCCCACAGCCGCGGCGGGCCGACCTCCCCCCCGCCATCCTCCTCCTCGTCATGCGCTCCCGGCACCCCGGGCACCCCGGCCCCGCCGCTGCCGCCGCGCGTCCGCCGGGCCCCCTCGACCTCGCACGCGGCCACCGCCATCGCCAGCGTGGCCTTCGGGGACTTTGCCCCGCCACCGGTGCCGCTGGCCGGCACCGGCGCCGGCCCTGGCTCCGGCCCGGCCACGTCCTTGTTCCCGCCGCCGCCCCTGCCGCCGGCGGCCCTCCGCGCGCAAATCCTCGCGCCGACTTCCTCCGCCCCGACCGGCGGGGCGGCCATGCTGTCCCCCCCGCCGAAGCCCCTGATGCCCGGGTCTCCGGCCCGCGGTGGCGGGTCCAACACCCTCTCGGGAACGGCCTTCCCCCCGCCGCCGCTGGTCCTGGAGCCGGTGCACGCGCGCACTGGCAGCCTTTCGCCCGGGTCCAGTGCCGATGGCCGCTCCCCGGGGGATGCCGCCTTCTTCCCTCTGCCGCCGGCGCCGTTGTCGGCGCGGGCATCCACGGCGCCGGGTCGCGACACGGCCCCGCCTCCGCCTGCCCCGCGGCCGGAGTCCACCCTGCCTCCCCCGACACCACCCGGGCGCAAGGGCAAGCTCCCGCCCCTGCCGGGCACCCCTTCGACCGCCATCGCGCCGCCGGATGCCGCGGGGACCGCCGCCGTGGCCGGCCCCCCGGCGGCCGCCATGCCGCCCTTCATCCCGTCGGAGATGCGCACGCGCCAGGCTTCCATGGCTCGGCAGCCGCGCGGGGCCGCCCGCGAGCATGTGGCCCGGCCCACCGTCACCACCGCGGCCCCGGCCCCGGCCCCGGCCCTGGCCCCGGCCCCGGCCCCGGCCCCGGCCATGGATTCGGCCCCGGCGGCCACCAGCCCCCGGGCGTCCTCCTCCTCGCACTTGCGCTCCAGCATCGACACCTCGACCGGGGCCCGGCCGCAAACCCTGCGCGCCATGTTCGAGTCGCTGTCGGCCATGACCGCGGCTTCCGGGCCGTCGGCTCCCTCGAGCAACCGCGTGTCCGGCCTGCACTTCCAGTCCTCCTCCTCCTCCTCGTCGCACATTCCCCCCGGACGCCGGGTCTCCAGCCATGGGCTGCAGTTCCTCGGGACCGATTACTTGCAGCAGACATCGGCCCCCGGCGCGGGCATCGGCCATGGCATGGGCCGGCCTCCGTCGGGCGATGGCGGGTTCACCACCTCCCCCGCTGGCTCGCGGCGTTGGGGCTCATCCTCGCCCCGGGCATCGGCCGGGATGCTCGGCACGTCGGCCCTCAGCACCAGCGACTTCCTTGGGCCCCCCTCGGGGCCGGTGGCCGGCAGCGGGGCCGAAGCCGGCGCCTCGTCCGAGGGCCACCAGTCTCACTCTTCTGCCTCCGGTGGCGGTGGCGCACACTCGCTCATCGACCGCCGGTCCAGCTCGACGGCCTCCATCCTGGCGCAATTCGAGGCCGCCGCCGCGCAGGCCCAGCAGCAGGAGCTCCGCCGGGCGTCCCTGGCCCGGCGGTCCGGCACCAGCTGGGCCGGTGGGGGGGGTCCTGTCCCGAGTGGCGGCGGCGGTGGCGGTGGGCCGCTGTCGCCCCCCTCGCAGCACCAGTACTATGCCTCGCGCTTCGGTGGCAAGGCCGACTGATGGCGCGGCCACCCGGCATTATGCCGGTTCACCCCCCTCCCTTTTTTTCCCTCCCTCCTCCCCTCGTTTTTGTGCATACACACACACACACACACCTGCCCGGTTGCGTGTGCGCCGGCATCGCTCGCCCTCTCTTCCCTTCGCTGTGTTGTGCGGCGCGTTGCGCTCTCGCGCGCGCGCGCTCTCTCTCTCTCTCTCTCTCTCTCTCTCTCCAGACAAGACCGCATGCCGCCCCGTGTTTGCGCGCGGAATAGATCCCCCTGCGTCGCCGCGCAATCGCAATCCCCAAAGAGTCGGCAGCTCCAATTGTCCGCTGGGCTGCCAACGGTCCGATTCGGCCCGCGGCCAGATCGATCTACCATGTCAAAAGTCCGGGGCGGGCGCGGGTGCGGGCGGGGGGCGGGCGCGGTGTGGCGGCTGTTGGCGGGGGTGGAGGGCGGTGGAATGCCTGCCAGACTCGCGCCCGCGCCCGGCGGAATGCGCCTGGCTAGTTTCCTCCCGGGCAGATCCGCCATGTGCCGGCACGGGCGCGCCGTGTGTGCCTGTGTGCCTGTGTGCGTCGTGTGCTCATCTCTGTGTGTGTGTGTGTGTGTGTGTGTGTGGCCGAGTGAATGTATGCATGCGTGTGTGTGTCCTGTCTGCACGTATGCTCGCGAGGGCCTGGCCCGAGGACGAGACAGCGGGGGCCGGGCGTGTGCCAGTCGGTGCCCTCTTTCTGACAGGGGCCAGCCGTGGGATGCCGCCCGGTCGCCGGCCACTCCTCTTCTCCTTGCCTCTGGCCCTGCTTTCCCCTTGTCCGCCGATTGCCCGCCTGCCTCTCCCCCCTCCCCTCATTTCGCCTCCTCCCTCGCCCGGCCCCGCCACCATCGTCAGCATGAGCCAGGCCGGCCCGGCGCGCAAGTCCACGCTCCTGATCCCGGACCACCCGATCATCGTTGGCCTGCGCCTTCTTCGAACCCCGGGCCCGAAATCCAGCCTCTCCGTGCAAGTGGGCCGGGCGCTGGAGGAAAACCCCGACTCCACGTCGCTCATTTGGTCGGACCTATCCAAGTCCGACATCGGCCAGGTGCCCTATGGCCTTGACGCGGTGCGCGCCATCGCCCCAGATCGAGGGCCCCTCCACGCCTGCCATTGCTCCGGTTCCTGCATCTGCCCGGCCGGGCCGTCTGCCTGTGCTCGTGCCCCCGCCCGGCCCCTCTCCTGGGTCTTGGCCGCCATGCTCCCCCCGCCCATCTCACCTCCCCCACCCTCATGCTCCCCCTTGCGTAGATCACACTCTCCTCTTTGAACCTCTCGGCCAAGCTCTCCTCGCGCTACAACATCACCCGAGACAATGACCAGGCATCGGCGGTGGCCTTCGTGGAGGCAGCGGTGTCCCTGACCCAGCGCATCTCCCAGGCCAAGAGGCGGTCCTGCCTGACACGCCTGGAGCTGGTTGGCGTCCGGGTGGCCCAGCTGGAGCCCATCGCCGCGGCGCTGGCCCGCCCGGTGGCCGAAGGGGCAAGTGGCCTGTCACCCATTCGGACCTTCGTGGTCCGGGACATTCCGGACATTTGCTTTCTCACGGACCCGGGTCTGGAGCTGGGCCGGCGCCTGTTCGTTGATTGCCGGCTCGACCAGCTGGAGCTCCGCGCGTGCGGTGTCAAGCGCGTGCCGCACTTTGCCCGGACCGGCCGCTGGGCCAGCCTGCTGACGGCCGCGGCCGAGGCGGCCACCGAGCATTCGGCCACCGCGGTGCACTTTTCCCCGACCGCCGTGGCCCGGCTGTCCGAGTCTTTGACCGAATCGCCGATCCCGGCCAATTGGTCCGGTCTGCGGTCGCTGGTGCTCGACAGCAACCGCGGCCTGGGTCTGGTGGGAGCGGTCCGGCCATTGTTAAACATGCGCACGGTGCGTCCCCGCCTGCTTTCGCCCCCCCCCCCTCCTTCCTCCTCGGTGGTGCTCTCGCTCGGCATGCCTCCCCCCTCTGGGCATCCTGCCCATCGATGTGGCGACTGACGCGCATGGTGTGCCCTCCCTCGCTCGGCGTCCTGCGCAGCTGGTTCATCTTTCCCTGGCGGACACGGCACTCGACTGCACTTTCACCGGCCGGCGCACCCTGGATCTCAGCGGCCTGATTGCCCTGGAGCACTTGGATCTGTCGTACAATGCGCTGGGCGGTGTGCCGGCCGGCATCACGCGGAGCGCACACTTCCTGGCCGGGCGCCCGCTCAATGCCGCGGGCGCCGGGGCCGGGGTGCTGGACCGCCGGGGTGGCTCTGGCCGCGTCAGCCCGCTGGCCGGGCCGGGCGACTCGCCCATCGGCCGGTCGCCCACCCTGGGTGTGTTGATTCCGTCGTCGTCGTCGTCGTCGTCGTCGGGCCCCGGCCCCGGCATGGGCGGGGGCATGGACTCGCCCCCGGCAGTGGGGAGCACCCCGGCATCGCCCGTCTCGCCGGACTTTGACTATGCGGCCTCCGACGACGAGGACAATGAGGACGAAGACCCGGATGCCGAGTGGCGCCGACGCCAGGATGCCCAGCGCACGGAGCCCTTCATCCGGCTGCCCAACAACCTGCGTGTGTTGGTTTGCCGCGGGAATATGCTCTGCTCGCGGAGTTTCTACTTGCTGTTCTTCGCGCGCGGTCGCGACCCCTCGCGGGCTTGGACCGCGGAGTTCCTCATGTCGCTGGTCCTGTCGGACAACCGGTTCGCCGGCATTCCCGGCTACTTCGGTGCCCTGTCCAAGGTGCGATGCCCCCGGCTCAGGGGGGGGGGGGGGGGGGCTTTTGTGCGGCCGTGCAGCCGGCCACCTTCAGGACAAATCCTTACCCGGGCATTGGCGCGCCGTGTGGGCGATATCACGCACTCGTAGTTGCGCTTCCTCTACCTGGACGCCAACCTTCTGCAGGGGGCCGGACTGGACGATGTGACCTTCCCCCGGTCGTCGCTGTCGGCGTCGGAGCAGGCCCTGGCCGCGCGCGCGCCCATCACCCTGTCCTCGGGCGGGGCTCCGAAGCCCGGCAGCGCCGGAGCCCCCCCGACCAGCTTCTCGGATGTGGCCAGCTTCTCGGGGCTCCGGTCGCTGGAGCTCCTGCATCTGGGCTACAATCGCTTTGTGCGTGTTGGCATTTCTTTGTCCCGGTCATCCTCCCCCTCGCCCGGCTCCTTGTGCACCTTCTCCATGCCGACCCAGATGGCCTTTTTTTTTTTTGCTCACCCTCTCCCCTCTCCCCCACCCCCTCGCCTTCCGCCGCCGGTGGGTGACAGATTACCCTGCCAACTTTCTGTGTCCTGGATGACCACCTCCCCTCGCTTCAGGTGCTGGTGTTGAACAACAATCGGCTGAAGTCCATCCCGCGGCACATTGTGGCGGCCGCCAAAAAGCGTCTGAAGTTCCTGTGCGTATTGCGCCCACCGGCCGAGCATGAAATCTCCCCGCCTGCCACTCATGCGTGCGTACTTCCCCCCCCCCCCCCCTGTGACTGTCCATGGTCCCCACAGCAACCTCGATGACAATCCCGACCTGCCGGTTGCCGAGGCCGCGCTCGGGGCCCTACTGGCACAATGGTCCTCCACGACCGAGGAGGGCGTCGATCCCGACGACGAGTCGTCGGCTGCCACCGGCCTCATTAAGTATGACATCCGCAATGCGGATTTCACCCTCCAGTACGCATCGCAGCACGAGCGCATTTGCCCTTTCCCGATGTTTCATCCTCATTGATGGTGGCTTTTTTCTTTGCCCGGTTCCCGTCCAGGTCTTCGGAGCGCTTTGTTGAGCGCCTAGCCAGCCAGGCAGCCGCACGAGCGGCACAGGAGGCTCGGCGTCGGGCTGACAAGGAGAAGGAGCTCCTTCAAAAGAAGGCGGCCAAGATGGACTTCCATGTGCGTCCTGCGTGGGCTTTTCCGTGGGCTCTCGCCCCGGCCTGGCGCCCTCCCCGGCTGTCGCTAACTTGTCCCCGGGTGGCAACTCGCTCAACCCCATCTCTCTGCTGGCCTTTTCTCCTGTCAGGACATCCCGGTGGGCGATCTCCCTGGCCTCGGCCCTGGGGGCACCCTCCTGCTAGGTGACGCCACGGGCAATGCCGCGTCCCAGCACGTCCCTGGGCTAGTTGACCAGCTGGTGCGCATGGCTCTCTCCCTCTCCCTCCCTCTCTCTCTCTCCTTCCCTCCTTCTCTCGCTGCCTCCTTCTCTCCTTCCCTCCTTATCTCGCTGCCTCCTTCTCTCCTTCTCTCCTTCCCTCCTTCTCTCCTTCCCTCCTTCTCTCCTTCCCTGCCACCTCACCATGACTCTGCTCGAACCGTATCCACCTCCACATGCCCTCTCCATGCCGTGTCTTTCGATCTTGGAATGCCTCTCAGGCCCCATCGGGGATGGATTACTCGCAGCTCTTCCCACAGAGCGTCCTCGCCCGGCATGTCGGCTGGTTCGACAACTCCGAGGACGAAACCCAGGTCCAACTGACATGCTTTGTGATTGCGCAGCTCCACCCCCTGCGCATGCGTGTTCCCCTGGCCGAAGATCCGCACGTCAAGTACTGCGAGCATGGGATCCTACGCGCCGAGTGTGCGGAGATGGACTGCGAAGTGTTCTTCGGCTGCGCTCATGATGAGGGGACCGAGCTCCTGCCGGTTCACTATCACGATCGCTTCCCCCGATTCGAGGGCCAAGCGGCCCCGGCTCCGGCCGCAGACGATGACGATGACGACCTGGTCGATGACCTGACCTACCTCTTCCGTGAGGGCGCCGCCGGGGCCGGCAATGCCAAGTACAATGGCATTCACCCGCTCTTCTGGAACTGCGGCACCTTTTGCGACGGGGATGCCTACATCCTGCTCCGGGTATGGAGCACTGGCCTTCCCTTCCGATGTCTGCCCTTTTTGCCTGGCTGCTCTGAGCGACGATCGGCTAACCGTCTTCTGGTTCGGGTGTTTTCTTCCCGCAATGTCCTTTCGCCCCCCCCCCTCTCTCTCTATCTGTCTCTTTGCTGCCGGCGGAAAGACCGACACCCCGGTGCCCGACAACCAAGTCTCAGGCGCCAACACCAGCAAGAACATCGGTGTTCGGCATTCCATTTTCACTTGGATCGGCCCCGAGGCCAGCACGGACAAGCGCCTGTGCGCGGCCATGCATGCGGCCAACCTGCGCAAGGCCCTCCTTGGCATGGGGATCCCGGTGTGGTCGGACAAGTCCTTCGTCGATGGGGTGCCCACCAGCGGCGTCACTTGTGTGCAAGATGAGGTGCGTTGTCCGCGGTGGCCTCCCCCCCCCCCCCCCCCCCTGGCCCGTAAGCCGCGCGTATGCCCCCCCTGCCGAGTGTTGGCGCCCCGCCAGAGCAGCACTGACCAATCAACCGGCCACTGGTAGGAGCCCGGCGCCGAGTCGGCCGATTTCTCGGGGCTCTTCTCGGAGATCATCCGTCGGCCGGCCGAGATGTCCCTGCTGCCGGGCTTGAACAAGGCCAGCGCCGGGTCGGCTCCCGGGGCCTTCATCCAGAAGGTGGATCTGTTTGCGGTGGTGTTCGACGGCCCGCGCGCTCGGCTGGAGCCAGTGCGGCCGATTTCCTGGGATTCCCTCCGCTCCAATGGCGTCTTCCTGCTGAACACCCCGCAGGAGGTCTTCATGTGGACGGGTCAGGTGCGTGCGCATGCTGCCTGGCGCGAGCCACCCGGGCATGGGCATTGCATTCATCTTGCCTCGGGCTTCCCCCCCCCCCGTTGGACACCCTGCTGACCATCCTCTCGCGACGTGGCTCCGCTCGGGCCCGCAGGATGTCAAGGTCAATACCGCGGCCAAGGCGCGCATTCTGGCCGATGACTTCCACCTGCGCGATCGAAATACCCGCGTCCCGCTGACCCTGGTGACCGAGATGCCGGATGAGCAACTGGACTGCCTGATGGTGCACAGCAACAGCGGGGCCCTGGGCGCCGAGCAGTTTATGGCCTTCTCGTCGAGCTCCTCCGGCCGCCGGGCCTTGCTGGACTACTTCCGCTTTGCCAATTGGTTCTTCAGTCACTCGCCGGCGAACCGGCCCCCGAAGAGCGCCTGCCAGCCCTGCGGCAGCCGCTGCCTGGTTTCCTCGCGTAACTCCTTCGGCCTCTGCCTGTCCTGGCTGTACATCGAGAACCAGCGCGCCGGGGCCGACTACTTGGACCCGTACCTGGCCACCGAGGCGCGGCTCTTCCAGTGCGTAGCCTCTGTCTCATTCTTCATTCCCTCGTTCCTCCGCTCCCCCGCTTCTCCCGCTTCTCGCGTTTCTTTTCTCGCTTTTCCCGCTTTTCCACTTCCTCCGCTCCTCCGCTCCTATTTTCATCCCGCCCCTTCCGCCCTTTCCTTTGCCTCGAAACTCACATGAGCATGGGGTTCCGCATTTGGCAGGGTGGTTTTCCAGGATGGCAAGCTGGAAGTCCCACGCATGGACCCGCCCCTGTCGCGAAAGTCCCTCCAATCGGCCGGATGCTTCATCTTGGACACGACCAGTGCGGCGCCCGTGCACAAGCTGGACCCCGGGTCGTGGGAGATCCTCCCCGACGGGCGTGTGGTCTATCCGCAGAGCGTCACCGTGGCCGCATGGGTTGGGCGCCGGGCTCCGGCGGAAATCCGGTCCATTGCCCTGCGCCTGGCCCAGCGAGTGCTGGCCCTGCATGTGGAGCAGATCCGCCGGTCGTGCGCCAGCCAGCCGGCCCTGCTCCAGCGTCTCGGCCTGGCGCCCGGCGAGGAGGAAGACCTGGCCCTGAATGTGGTCATCCACGGCCGGGCAGTGCGCGTGACCGAGGGATCGGAGGATACGGTCTTCGCCGGGTGGTTCGGCGACTGGTGGGCAAGTGCGTGTGTGTGTGTGTGTGTGTGTGTGTGTGTGTGTGTGTGGTCTTCCCGACCGAGGGGCTCCGTGCCATCCTTTCCTTTCGCCTGTGGCAGTCCGCGTGCTTTGATGACCAACCGCAATCTGCTTGTCCCCCCCCTTCCACTCTGCCCTCCTCGGGTCGGCCTGCCTTCTCTTCCTCCGGCGCCGCTGCAGCCCAGCAACATACGACGCTGGCTTCCTTGGAGGTGGGCTATCGCGGATCGTCAAGCTCCGGCCAGTCCAAGCGCTCGGGTGACCGGCTGCCAGTGGACACCGACGTGCGGGTGCTGTACCGCGGCCCACGGCGCACCTTCGTCTCGGCCACCGACACCCAGACCGATGAGATGGATGAGCGCGCGGCCAGTGCCCTGCTCTCCCGCATGCGCTCCTCGTTGGTCAGCATCCGGGTACGTGTGTCTGTGATGTAGAATCGGCCCCCCCCCCCCCCCCCCCCTTGGCCGGCCCTCGCCGCCTTCCGTCTGGCACAATGCCGCCCCTCCTCCCCTTTGTGTGTGTGTGTGTGTGTGTGTTCCTCCCCCGGCTGACATTCGATATGACTGTATGGCCACACATCAAGTGCTTTGTCCGTGGCAAGTCCGGCAAGTTCGATTCCCTCCCGGCGGGGCATTGCAATAGTTTCTTCTACTCCGGCGAGGTGTATGCCTTCCTGTGTGCATATGACCAAAAGTCCTCGGCCCTGCTGTCCAGCCTGCCCAGTGTCCTGGAGGATGGTGCTTCGACTCCAACCGCGCCCGCGCCCGCGCCCGCGCCCGCGGCCAAGTCCAAGTCCGTGGCCTCGGCCCCGGCGGATGCCACGGAGGGGCCCGACTCGGGCGACTCCGATGCCTCCCCCCTGGCCGCGGCCGAGGACGCTTCTGTGGAGTTGCTGCAGTTGATGCGCTCGGAGAATGACATCAACTTCGGCTCGTCCCCGGTCCAGGCCATCGAGGAGGCGGCCACCGCGGCTTTCGCCACGACGGCCACCGCGCTGCAGCACGCCGCCGAGGGGTCAGCCCCGGCGCCCTCCAAAACCCAGTCCGGCCGTGTGGTCGAGAGTGTTCTCTACTATTGGGAGGGCCGCGACGCCTCGCCCATGGCTTGGATGCAGTTTTCCCTGTCTCTGCGCCCGCGTCTGGAGGCCATCGTCAAGTCGCTCTACGGCTTGAGCTTGCGGTGCGTGCCGCTGTTGGCGGCTCGATCGGCCGGTTCCCCAGCTGCCTTGCCCTTCTCGTGTGACTGACCGCACGACGCTCTTCCGATCTTCTCTACTATTGGGAGGGCCGCGACGCCTCGCCCATGGCTTGGATGCAGTTTTCCCTGTCTCTGCGCCCGCGTCTGGAGGCCATCGTCAAGTCGCTCTACGGCTTGAGCTTGCGGTGCGTGCCGCTGTTGGCGGCTCGATCGGCCGGTTCCCCAGCTGCCTTGCCCTTCTCGTGTGACTGACCGGCCGCCTGGGCCAATTCCCCCTCCTTCGTTGCGTCGTCCAATCCCTCCCTCGGGCGTGCGCAGCGTCATCCGCGTGATGCAGCAATGCGAGCCCGCGCGGCTCATGTGTCACCTTGACAGAGAGCTGGTTATCTTCAAGGTACACCCCGACGTCGAATGCCTCTTTCCGCCCACCAGGCATGCCAGCCTCCTTGACCTGCTCTTCTTCCCATGTCACTTTTCACCACCGTCA